GGTCGTCGAGGTACTCGAAGAACGCAGTTTGATAGTTCGCATCCTGGTCGTCCAGTGCCCCGGGGTCGGGGTCATGGTTGGGGCTGCTGTTACAGTTGGGGTTGGTTGCAGAAGTACCCTTGTCCTTCTCAGCTTGGGAAGACGTCCGTGCCGCTGCCATTCGTCGCCGATGCAAGCTCGAGTTCGCCCGATACAACGCGAAAAGCTGTTTGGCGAAGGTGTAGCTGTCGTGTTTGCGGCCCGCGCGGCGCAGCGCGGTGTGCAGCTTCACCAGCGCGAAAAAGCGAAACCGAAGTGGGTCCAACACGAGCTCGTCGAGGCGACGTACCAGAAGAACCTTCAAAAAAGATATCACAAGCGTGTAGACGATCTTGATGGATTCGGGCGATAGGTGAACGGCGCTCGTCTGGATCGGGCCCTCCCCGGGGCTCTCCGCCGCGGCGTTGCCGAAGCGCGCCAGGTAGTGCTGCTCGTCGATGCTGCAAAAGAGGGCCTCGAGCAGGAGGCCGAAGAACGCGCGCGTGAGGTGCCTCGCGAAGGGCTCGAGTGAGGTCAGGAAAAAGCGGCTCGTGGCGCCCTCGCCGTGCTCCACACAATGTACCGCCGCGGCCTCGACAATCATATCCGCCAGGAGGGTGATCGCAAGCTCCACGGGCGTCAGCCTTGGACGAATGGACTCCTCGTAGGATAGGTCGTCCTCGGGCGTTGGCGCGTCGTCACCGCGATGCGTTATTACGGAAAGGGCTGCTTCCTGTCCACTTGCGGCGGTCGTCGGCTGGGTGGAAGAAGGAGCCAAAACTTGCTGCCTGTTGCCCTCGCTCGCTAAAACGGCCTCGTTCTCCCTTTCTCTCTTGTATTCCATTGACAAGAATTCAAAGAGCTTTTGAATTTTCTCCCCCTTATTTATCCCAGCGTACAGCTCCAACAAGGACTCGATTGCATCGATGTTGCTTATATCCGTGTTTAAAATATCCATGAGTACCGCCTCTGCCAGATCGAATTTAGATAAGCGGCGGTATCCCACGCTGAGAAGGTAGCGCACGTGATTGACATCTTTAACCGTCACCTCAACCTTCTCTATCTGAACCAGCGCGGGGTCGAGCTCTTCCTTATTAAGACTTTCCAACAAGAGACCACCCTCGCCCCCCTTGATGTCATTATTTTTTTTGAGTTTTCGCCATATACACTCCTCCCCGTCTTTACCGGAGATAATCTCGTACTCCGGTAATGGTCCAGGGTCCACATAAAATGCCTCGTGATCTACGCAACGCCTCTGGCGCTGTTGAAGCTTTAGAAGCAATACCTTCTCTGGACTGAGAGGTTTTTCGACGACGGTCTCCACCAAAGCCATAACATGGGGGAGCTCTTCTTCAAGAAACTGCACCGCAGTGTGGATTTGAGTGTTGGTGCTCGACTCCGTTAGGAGGACTTTTTTCTTCTCTATAATCTGAGGTGACACGTACCCACTATACGCGAAGGCCTCGTTCTCCATTAATTTCCTCTCCATCTCAATCGCCTCCAGCGCGAGTTGGCTCTGGGGAGAAATGTTCTTATAGCTCACCATCTGCTTGGGGTGGTTGAAGGGGTCCTGTATGTACCCCGAGGGGGTATCCGCAAGCGTGTTCTCGATGATATTGCGGTAATAAAGAAGACGGGTGGGTCGAAAGAGAGAACTTGTATGAATTTGCACACCGAGTGCGCACGAGGTCGAGTTTGGTAAAGGCATTCCCATGGTATACGTGAAGCTGGATAATCGATAGGTTGAGAAGGAAGCGGTTGAGAGGCCGCAACAGGCGTATGGATGCAGCAATCGCCCGCGCGGCATGAGAAATCTACAGTGTCCGTTTGTACGTGTCTATTTATGACTACTTTTATAACGTCTTTTTTCTTAATGCTACCCTTATTCCTCGCTTGGCAAACTTGTTTCGAGGCTGTGTAGCATAAATGAATTGAAAAAATGGAAAGAAGTAGAAAAGTCAGAACCATAAGAAAGAGTAAATAAACTAGTGGCTGCGTTTCCTCTATGACATCGAATCTAAAAAAATGTAAAATGATGGATAAAGAACTAATCGGGCTCATTTTCTTTCCCCCCAAAAAGGAAGAATGTTTTCGCTCTATTTTTATTGAACAGAAAGGATTCCACTTCGCCTTAGAAAATATAGTTTTTTGAAGCCTATAAACCATGCAACATGTGTTAAAGCAGATGTCTGCTCAATAGATCACCAAATAAAGAATATTTTCATAATATTTCCCATCTAAATATCTTCGCTTTTACGCTCAAAACTTCATATAAACTATGTATAAGACATCTGAACCAGAAGCTAACTCGGAGCCGACAAAGTAACTCCTTAGTACCTAAAGTTTGATTGATTTTACAAGGGGCTCTCAACTGAATAAAAATGTCGTGGTACGTGTAATATAAGCAAGTCCCGGAATGCATACCCATTTAGCTTACCTGAGGCGCCGCATAGCAATCTCAATATGGAACCTTTTCCTTTTGTATACCTGTTTAAGTCAAAATGTTGAAAGCGTAGCGATAAACCCTTTCAGTACGAGTTGCGATGAATCTGAAGTGATAAATAATGATCTTGGGAAATAAAAGACACTAGTTGATAAGAAGTTGTCAGACCTCCGTTGCTGTGGGTGAATGGTTACACATATTAACCACAAATAATAAAAGGCCAAGCAATGAATTTATTAAGGATTTGGAAAAGATATTACACATTTTGGTGTTGTGTGCAGCGTGAGTGTGATGTGAAATAAAAGGAATATTCCATTTGTATCCTTTTATACCGTTGTAAGAAAAGAAAATAATCCTAATAAATGAGCCATAAAATCATATATATATATATATATATATATATGTGTGTGTGTATGTGTGTGTATATGGAAATAACAAAGAAAGTATAAGCCTTTTGAGTAGAAAGAAGAAAGGAAAATGAAATAGAAAAGTACAACAAGGAATTTAAAAAATTAAATAAAATAAAACAAGTTTGAACAATAGTAATAAAAAGAATTGGACGATGTAGTATAATGAGGCGTGTTTATGGTGCCCCAAAAGCATCAGATAAATAAGGAGGAAATGCTGTCCTCTCTCTCCCCTCTTCCTTTTTGTGCGGTAGAGCGATTAATTGTACACAAAGACCGATAAAAGTGAAACCATCATGACAGAGCTGCCTTCGCCGGCAAGGGCATCTCATTAAAAAATGGTGATACGTATGGAAAGTTCCGCGTTTGCAAGACGAAGACCTTATAACTCTTCCCCATCTCATCCTCATCCATAAGCCGCCGATAATTTTGGAGGATCTTCATCGCGCTTTTGGTCTCCTCATCCTTGATAACATGGGCGAGTCGAACGTCGATTCCGTTGTACTCCAAAAAGTCATGCTGGGTGATGACGGGAAACCATACCAAATTCCGCCGCGCCACCTCCAACCGCTCGAGTGCCCACCGCAGCTGATTAAACGCCACCCAACTCGACAAATCCACCTCTCCCGGGGACAACAATGGATCGACAAAGCGATGGGCGCGAATGCCGCGCAGGGTGTTTTGCATATTCTCGTCCTTGCCGTAGTCAATAATCAAGCAGACGGCCCTCTGGCAGTCAATCATTCGCTTCATCAGCAGCTCCATTTGCTGCATGCCAACCGCGTTGATCTCAATTCCATCGCCAATCACGCCTTTCTTGCGAACCTCGTCTGGAATAAGATAGGCCGACATCGACCCCGAGGGCGCGTGGACAAGGCGGAAATGGGCCTCGTTTGCGGGGTCCTCATCCACCTCCACGCAGGTCTCCACCCACCCCCGCTCCGTATAGCGAAACTGAGCCACAGGCAGCGCGTCGAAGTACTCATTCGCGATAAAAATCGTAGGCTCGAGGGTGAAAGGCAGGCTCTCGAGGCTCATCCACCATTTAATCCGGCCCTGCGCGGTCTGGAAGTCGCGGAGGGCGTTTTTCTGCTCCGCTTGCCGCGCCGCCCCAAGCTCAATGAGGTGGATTTGCAAAAAATGCAATAAATGGGGGTTGGTAAACTGAATCTGCGTGAGGATCGTCCGCAGGAGGTTCCCGCGGCCGGGCCCGAGCTCCACCAAGTGGATCACCCGTGGCGTCCCCATTTTCTGCCAGACATCCATCACCCAGGCCGCGAGGATATCCCCGAAAAGGCCGATCTCCGCGGCCGTGATGAAGTCCGCGGCGGCCCCGCCAATGACATTTTGCTTCGTGGCGTAGTAGCCGTGTTGAGGATGGGTCAGGCAGTCCTTGATGAACTGCGTGAGGGGGTAATAGCCCTGCGTGGCGGCCTTGTTAGTGAGCTCCGCACACAACGTCGTCTTGAACTCCTTGCGAGAAGGGGAGCTGATGGTGGCCCGATCGGGGGTCGACATCGTACTCGCGTGGAGGGAATGACGGGACGGGGGGGTCGGGTGAAGGCCCGCGGCGGGGAATCGCAGGTGGACGCTGCGACGGAACATCGGAAATGGATTTTAATAGGGTGCTTCGCCTTTCTTTTTTTTTTTA